CAGGAGGAGGGCGTGTGACGCTGGAATGTTAAATACTGCAGGAATGTTATTTATTTTCATAAATACTACCACGTACCCCCATACCGGCTCACATGTGAGGGCGCCTGCACACATGTACACATTCAGCATCAGATAGCAGCCGACCGATCCGCTTCTCTTTACCTGCGGCGGAGTCGACACGTGTTCGCGCCGTAAAGACGTCAGCGCCGAGGCAGCAGACATAAAGATCTGCTCAAACACTCAGCTTTGCTCTGAGGAAAAAAATAAAAACGCGATGTGCCACTTGTACCTCCAAACAGATGTTAGAGGAATCATAACCCTCAAAAGCTGAGTAATATTTTTACAGCTGGACGAGCATCTGCGTGTAAAACCGTGTCTTCGCTCATGTCTAGACGCCGGCGTGGACTTTGGTGAGTCGTGGGCTCGGCTCTCGGCGTCTCTCTGCTGATTCAGAGAAAGCTGAGGAAGCATTCGGGCAGCCGCAGACAGTAGCAGGACTGATGGGCTTCCTACCGCCTCAGAGCTGGAAGCTGTGTGTCAGCAGTCAGCGGGACGCCGGCTGGCTCTCAGGTACATGTGAGGAGGTGAAGCCAGCTGCTCAGCTGAGCTCCAGCTGGGTTAAAGCTTCGCCCGTTCAGCCACACGGAGGTTTATTCAGACTCATCTACATCATATCACATCGCTGCAAATCACTGGAACCACTACGTCAGTGTCCTAAAGCTGAGAGTTTAACAGTTTAAATGTAATTTTACTGTAATTTCACAGATTTGTACTGATTTTGTTAAATTACAATATTTAGTAAAGTCACAATAAAAGTGTAAATTTACATGTTGACTGTATAAAAAGCAAAATTGGCCAAAACTGTGACAAACATTCACATCAAAAATTTATAGTTCACAAATGGCAATTAGTGCCTTTACATTTGACCATGAAATTACACTATTTTTACTGTATTTAAATCAGCAAAAAAATGTTTATTTTACAGATATTTGTTGTCATTTTAAACCTAAATTATTTACAAAAATGATTGAAAAATTTTACATTTACAGATTTTCTCTATTTTGTTAAATTACTGATAATATTCACTAAAATCACAAAAAATTTTGACTTAAACAAAACAAACAAATGAAAAAAAAAACAGACCAAAGCTGTAAAGCTGTTCACATTAAAAATACTTAATTTAATTTTTTTTTTTTTTTTTTACATACGGTAATTTATTACTTTACATTTGATTGTAATTATTTTATTTTTTTTTTTTAATTTTTTTTTTTTACAGTTTTTAAATCAGCAAAAACTAGAAAAATGTACAAAAAAAATTAACAATTTACATGTTGAACACTGTAAATAATGTCCACATCAACAATCTGCATTTTCACAAAAGGTAATTTATTATTTTATACTATTTCTTAGTGTAAATAATCAGCAAAAATATCATTATTTTACATTTATTTGTAATCATTCACCATTTTTTACAGTTTTATTACCACCTATACAATTCCTCCATTCTCTAACGTACTTTTTCCGTCTCTCTTGCTGCCAGATTTCCAGCGTTTGTTTACGAGGTTTTCCTTCCACAGTGCATCACGGCTGCAGTCACGCGTCTTATTGTACGTCTGCACGTTGAATGGACTGTTTGTAAAGCTGCACTTCTTTCATCTCACACAAGCTGCTCGTTGGTGGACATGAAGCCAGTTCCTGTTACAGTTTTTTGTTTTTTTTTCCTTCCACAGCAAACATGCAAACAAAAAAACCTGCAGTAATGTTAGAAAACCCACAGAAACTATTCTCAGAGGCACGCCGGACCCACTTCTCCTGAGGGACGAATGCAGCACAAAGAGTCTGAATGAGCCGTTACACTTTGTTCCCAGCTCTCCTCATTTATCTGCCCCGGGATTGTTCCCACGCCTCGCGCTCACCAGCAGCCAAAAGATGAACCTCGGGGGGAGCACCGCTGTGGAAATGATGCATGTGAATATGGAGCAAATTATCAAAAAGTGCAGTTTGTGGGATATATTCTACACTGCAGGGGTTTAACTCACAACGGGCCACCATGCCAGAGACTCCTGTAGCGGTTAACGGACTCCAGTCGGCGCTAACATGCAGAAAACTATTAGGTTCTAAACATATATATATGTCAGTGTTTTGACAACTCAAGACATCAGTTTTTTTAAAAATTTTATGTTCTCTCAGCTCATATTTAGAAATCTTAAATTGATTGGTGTCATGTCTGTCAAGTTTTTGTTTTGTGTTTTATGTCTCGTCTTTCCTGTTTTATTTTGAACTCACTAACCGGTTGTCTCTGTCTTAGCTTCACTTCCTGCACCCGTCTCGTCACACCTGCTCCCTGTTGGCTTTCCCTCACCTGTTTCCCATCTCCCCTCATCACCTCGTGTAGATTATCTCTCAGTCTTGTTGCCAGTTACTTCACGGTCTTCGTCCCAGCGTTTCCTAGTCAAGTCATAGTCTGTTCATGACCTCGTTTCTGTTTTTTGGACCTTGCCTTGTTGCCTGCCGATTCTTGGATACCTTTGCCTGATTGACTGGATTCCTGTGTACCGAACCCTGCCTGTCATTAAACCTGTCTTTGGCCTGAACTCATTCACATTTGTGTCCACCTGTCCTGAAATCAGTGAGTTCATGACAGATGGAACCACTTTGTCACCTCAACTGTTTATTCTAAGTGTACTGAAGTCAGATATTTGTGCATGAAACGCATGTCTTAGCTTTTTAACCCAATATCTACATACATACAGGTTAAAAATGATTTCAATTTGTTGATTTTTACATTGCTGCCGACTCTGTTTGCAGTGCAATAACAAGAAACCCATTCTGAACTTGTCACCTGAGTGTATTTTGAAGTGTTTACGACCGTTTGGCGAGTGTGTTTCTACCACAGATGGAGATGTGGAATGAAGCAACACAAAAGAGAAAGAAAAATAAAAAAGCCACAAGCATTCGTTCAGAAATAACACAGCGGAGCCACAAGAAGCGAAGCGCTTGTCGTCCACAAAGGAATGAAGCAAGTGCACCAAACATGTGCGGAGTCGTGATTCAGCTTTGATCCGCCTGGAAGCAAATCTGACGACATGTTTCACTGACACGTGTGGCGCATGTTGTTGCATCCGGATACAGCAGGACGCTACAGAACCGGGATGTACATTCATAATTGATTAATAATGATGACATGTTTTATAGGGTTTGACAGATGAAAGCAGCAGAGTGACATCATTAATCTGCACTGGTTCATCAAACACATCAGAGCTGTAACTGGAGGAAGAGATGCGTCCGATATCGTGCACTTTTTGTTAAAGTTATACTGAAAAACATTTGGATCACTGTTTATGAACTTTACATATATTCAACCCTCGACTCAGCACCTCCGTCTGCTCAGCTGTGGCTCTGCTACATGTGCTGCAGACAGAGGATTGTAAACAGAAGAGTCTGAGCTGCTAAATGACCCCAAAGCACCTTTTTCTGTTGTGTTTCTGTAAGAGAAAGTTTTTCTAGCGCTTACATCTGCAACGATGAAGCTCTACAACAGCACCTGCAAATGTGGAAGATGCACAGAACTGTCAGTTTTCCTGCATTTTATTTTGAAGAAATTTCATGTAGATTTCATTCTTTAAATGTTAGCTGAGCTCAACTGAACCTGAAATTATATTAAAAAGCATTTTGAATATTTTGTGATGTCGACGGAGAGACTTTACATGAAACGTGGTTTCTGTGAGCAAATTATATCGTTAAAGTTTAGTTTAAAATTAACATTGCAGCTAAAACAAACTCTTCCTGAAAAAGCTGCTTTAGGAGGACGAGTTAATCCAATAGGACGCTTAGCTGAAGCTTCAATATTATGTTTGTGATGAGTCAGTTTAATGTCGTACATGAAATATGAGCTGTAGTACAGTTCAAATGTATATCTAATAGTATTAATACTGTTTAAACCTGTACATTACGTATCTTATCCACATTAGTGTGTTTATGCCACTCCGTCCATCCTGTTCTCTCTGTTTAAACTCCAACATACTGTATATATAAAGCTAAAGCACTATCATTGTCTTTACAGGACAGTAAAGTTGAATCTGATCCAACAAACTATTCTGGTTCAACCTTTTACTCTCATGTTGACGTGGACTCGTTCTACACATTCTGCTTTAAACTTGTCTATACTTATTTTGCACTTTGCCTTTTATGTTTTCTGTTCTAATTTGAGTTTGAGATCAGAGCAGATCCGTAATCTTTGAATAGAAATCCTGTTCGGACCATCATTTGTTGGCACAGCTTAAAATCCTGCAGTTCCCAGGATCCTGGGATGCTGTTAATCACAGAGTAGAAGAAACGTGCAGGAGGCCTTCAGACACATGTTATTTAGCTTCAGGAGACCTTCATGCAGCCACAGAAAGCCTCCAACTGTGAGCCATGCGATATCATTTACTAGAAAAATTTGAGTTTTACTTCAAGAAACCAGAATATGTGCTCCCACTGAACAGGACTGAACTGAAGGCTACAAACGTTGGACTAAATGAGCTGCAGCGGCTCTTTGGTTCAGAGCATCAGAGCGTTTTATCTTTTTAATGCACTATTTGAAGCATTAAATGTGTAAACCTTCCTCGATAGGCTTCATCGGTTCAACATTCTCCCAAAAAAACATCATGTTTGACAGCAAACTCTACATGTTCCATCTGAACCACAGCAGCTGGAGGAGCCTCCTGGATGAAGCTGGAAAAGACACGTTTGGCTGGTTTTGTTTTTTCTTTACAGAAGCTTTAGGATCACTGAGAATCTACAGATGTGTTCCCAGGGACCAGAGCAGCTCAGGAACCCTCCGGTGACCTTCTGCTCTGCCCTTATCGCTCCGCATCACGTTGCCGGGCAGCAGGAACAGCTGAGCAGGAATGCAGCAGGTAAAGCGGAGCGGAGCAGCAGGATGAACTCCCCGCTGAGAGGACAACAATAGCCCCGATTCAGCGTCCTCCCCGCGGACCCCCTCCGTGCCCCCTTACCTTCTGATAAGCCAGCTGCAGGTAGTTGTACGGGATCCTCCTGTTGAAGTCCTGAACCACATCCTCGCTGACTTTGTGCACCGACTGCGCGCCGAGCTTCTCCTCGATGCATCTGTCCATGCACGCCGCTCTGCGCAGCACCGCGTCGAAGAAGCGCAGGTCCGAGAAGGTTTCATCAAACGGCTCCTGGTCCTGGCACCTCAGCCGGCACCGGACCTTGGTGCGCCGGACCTCGCTGTGGCTGCTGAGCGCCGCCTCCATGAAGCGCACCACGCTGTCATAGTCGCTGCTGTAGAAGGCTTGGACCGCGTTGTCATACAGGAGGTCGTAGGGCTCCAGGAAGGCAGCGCAGGAGGAGAACGCGGCGCACAGCAGGACGACGGACCAGGCAGCAGCCGGTGGCGAGTTCCCATCCATCCTCTGGTTCGGTTCGGGGCGGCCGGTGGGTCACAGCGAGCAGCTCCGGTTACTGTCCATTTAAAGGCTCCCAGCGGAGAGAGTCGGGACGGAGCGGGGACAGAGTGTTAGTCTGCCGGGGACACACATTTTGTTCTGACCCTCTCCGGCTGCGCTAACTCCGCCCCTCCAGGAGATGAATGGCCAGAATACAATCACGGCTCGCTCTCCTTGGAAGCAGCCCGTGGGGGGGTGTGAGGGGTCCTTCAGGGTGGGTGGGCACAAACACGAGCAACGCTTCTATTCAGCTTTATTATCACACGAGAGGCGCGGTTTAAAAGCGCTTTTCAAACACGCTGATGAAGATCTGAGGAAACTTTGAAATGGAGAAGTCTGGATTCCTTCTCAGGCTGGAAGAAACTGACTTCAAAAATACTTTAAAAATGTATTTGTCTCCACGTTTCTAATCATCTGGAATATACAAAACACTTCTTTAATCAATAAAGCCTCAGTTTCCAAGAGTTTACGCACAACTTTTACGCACGTAACTTTTACGCTTTTATCTGTGCGTAAAAGTGATTCTTTTGTTCTAACACTGAAACTGTTCTGTGTTTTACCTCCTTGTATTAATTGTAAGAGCTTTAAACTCAAACTTACTTTCTGTCTCTTCTTGTCTTTTGGAAATATCTGTTGTCAACAAAAGAAAACGTGCCTTCAGGCTCTGTGAGACAGAAACTCCCTCTCCTCTCGGTGGAGACTGTCTCCCTCTGCAGGTGTTTTGGGGTTATTGGCAGTTTTATTCCTTAAAACGTGTCTTTACGTTGCATATTCATGACTCAGGATGTGTGAATGTAAATTTAAAAACTTCACATCAACCTGTTGAGCTGCTGTGAGACTTCAGAGGACGTCAGGCGTGAAGTGAAGCAGATAAAAGCGCTGCGTGAAGGACTTCTACACTCTGATCATCATCTTCTGATTTAACACTGATGTGTGTGGAAACATTTTATATGCGTGCTTGAATCCTTAAATCCTGGTTTATGAGCCCAAATAAGAACAGAAATGAGTTTTAAATATTCACGAAGCAAAAAAACCTGTAACAGGTTTTACAACTAGAGGGCAGCAAAAACATGAAGATTAATTTTTATTTGTGGCTTGAATTTAACTTTTAAGCAACAGCTGCATAAACGTACTACAACATAGCAAAAACATTTTAAATATGAGTGAATTCTGGGTAATAAATAACCATTTTCATCCCATCAGGGGTCAGTAATTAGGTTAAGATGTGCAGCTGAGCCTGTGAGACGTCACTGTGCTGCTGGACTTCTTTCTTCTTGAGCATTTATTTTTAGTTTCATTTAAGAAAAAAACTTTTTTATTAAGCTGTTTTGAAGGTTGTGCATCAGGACAGGTTTTAAAAGTCCGGCTCAGTGTGTGATTGAATGAAAATACTGGTTTTGCTGCAAAACAAAAATATAAAAGCTGCCTGTTTTTCCATTTAAAACCCAAACAATTTATCAATATTAGATGTTGCAAACACTTCATCATCTGCTTTGGAAAACTCGTGTAAACAGGCAGAAGTTTCTCATTCGTCGTTTTGTCGTTGCTGATTTATTTCGAAGGGTCAAATTCAACCAATGAGCTGCTGTTTGTTGAAAAGTTTTAAAAGTTTTAAATGAAATAATAACGTGTGGAAGGTGTTTAAAAAATAAATAAAAATCTCAAGCTACTTCCTGTTCAGAAAAATACAGATGCTTCTACTGACAGCACTGTGAAACATTATGAAGGAATTTAATCAAATGAACTCATCTTTTCTGGTTTACTGAATGTAAATATGCTACGTTTTGCTTATTTCTAGTTAATTTAACCTAAAATGTCTTTTTTATATAATTTGTAAGTTCTTATAACTTGAAGCATTACGTCCCAAAATGATAAATTGAACGAATGAACAGCTGAGAGTTCACTAAACTCAATAAATAAAGTTTAAAGAAACAAAACTACCAACACATCCTGGTGGGAAGTCTGCTTCAATGCAAAGAGACTCTTGTTTTTGGTAGTTTAAGAAAACAGTCATGGTGGAAACCTGCTGTGTGTCTTTGGTCAATTACGTTTTTGTTGTTTCTTTTTATAATTATTTTTTTAAAAATCCAATTATGACCAAGACCAGTGTTGAAATCAGTCCCTACAGCTGAATCATTGATCTCACTGTAATCAGCAGCAGCCTCACAGATCGTCTTTACTAATTTCTCAAAGTTAAATACAGAAAGAAACTCTGTAAACTTAGAAAATGTAAAAAAAAAAAAAAAAAAGCGAGTTACCGTCTGTGTGACTGATTCAACTTCATATCTTGAGTTTATTGAACTTGTTTTCTCAAGTTAAGCTAATTTAACTGCTCGTTTTATACTTTTAAACTCACTGATCGACCTTCATTAGTCACACTTTTAAGGCAGCAGGAGACACTTCTGAGCTGAAGGAAGTTAAACCGACCTCCTGCTGAGCTGTTCCTCCTTCACACATGTAAATACTGTATTTATGTCTGTATCCAGATCGCAGCCTTTACTTCTGATAAACAACCACATGAACATTTGCTATAGAAAAATACACACTTGGGACACGCTGCTGTAAATAACTGATGTGACTCATCGCAAAACGCAGGATTTTATCACCAAACTTTACATTTTTGTGCCGTTGCGTAACCTGAATTCCTCACTGGAACCGGATTTAAACCTCCAAGAACCTCCACAGAGTCATGAGACGACAGCAGCCGTGTGTTTATTGCAGGGCTGTTTCGGTGGAATTACAGGTGTTCCTGTAATCCAGTCAGGGTGGAGCACATCCACCCAGAAGACTAAACTGCTGCTGTAATGAAGCCTGATCCGCCCACCAGTTCCTGGAGTCCATGAGGTTTTCATATTGCACAAGTTTAAATGTCCCGGTGAGCAAAAAGGGCTGAAATGATCTGAGTGTAGGAAGATGAAGGTCGTTCACATGATGTTTATAGTTGCTGCAATCAGTAATACTTCCAGAAAACTTGGTTGATTTTCAATAAAATAAAATTTCCGTCCGTGTATTCTGGCTGACAGTTTTTTCCTCTTCACAGCCTTTCAGGTGCAACAATCTTCATCACGTATCACTGTTTTTGTCCTTTAGCTCTTCCATCCATCATCTATTCACTGCTTAATCCTCACTTGGGTCATGGGGGGCTGGAGTCTATCCCAGCTGACTCAGGGTGAAGGCAGGTTCACCTGGACAGGTAACCAGTCTATCACAGGGCTACACTTAGAGACAGACAACCAAGCACACTCACATTCACACCTACGGACAATTTAGAATCACTAATTAACCTTTCTGGACCTTGTGGGAGGAAGCCGGAGAACCCGGAGAGAACCCACGCTGCACGGGGAGAACATGGAGACTCCACGCAGAAAGATTCCCCCACCGGGACGCGAACCGGCGACCTTCTTGCTGTGAGGCAACAGTGCTACCAACTGCGCCACTCTGCAGCTTAGCTCTTCCAGTGCAACTTCATTTTTAACGCTGTTTGTTTGTTCTGAGCTCTTCTGAATCAACAACATCACTTATTCACTTCTATGGAATCATATTTGTGCCACAATCCTGAGCGCACAATGGGAAAGTTTGGAAAAAAGTCTTGAGCAAATAAAAACTTATTGTAAGCAAACAAAACTCTATCCTGTGCTCAAAACTATTGCTGCTGTGTTTGCAGCTATCAACATACGGGCACGATCATGCTGTCTGTCACTTGGTTTTGTCGTGTACGCTCTCTCAGATCTCTATTCTGTGCTCGCTCACTGTGTCTTTCTCGCACAACATTGATGATCTGTTCACGCTCAACTCAGCCTGAACGGTCGTTCAACAATGACACAGCGCAGAATAGATTTTGTTTGCTTACGCCAAGTTTTTATTTGCTCAAGATTTTTTTCCCATTGCGCGCTCAGGATTGTGGCACAAATATAATTCCATATTCCCCCCCTCCACCATAGTCATCATCTATTTTCTTCCTCCTACAGCTCTTCCATTGACACATCATTCCCTAAGATCCTCTCTACAGCTCCTCATAAAGTTTGTTCCCATACAACCCAACAACAGAATGTAAACTGTGTTCTCTCTTTATACGTCCATATATCAACTCAGCACGTCTTTTATGCACATATCCATATGTAGATCCATCATGTCTGGCACCGAGCTTCACAGATTCATCAGACCACCACCCAGTGTAAGGATTCAGCCACAGCTGCCCTAAATTAACAGCACTGGTAATTCCCCAAATCATTCCTTATGTTTCTGTAATGGTTAACACACCAGTATGTAGAAGCTCTTTAACCCTTTAATGCCAAATGTATCATATATGATATATGACAGACACAAGCGGTCCACTCGGATGATCCACCCTGGATCAGGAGTTCATGCACCAAAAAGGCCGGATGTAGCAAAAATGATGCAAATTAAAACTCTGAGATGAAAATTTTCATTAATTTTTGGGGGTAATTTGTGAGAAGGGTCAATAAACACTCTGTTTCAAAAAGAAAAAGAAAAAAAAAGAATTTCCTGACTATTATTTCATGTTTCAGGCTTTACAGGGTTAACCAAAATCACCAAAATGCTAAAATAGAATTATTATTGTTATCCATGGATTTTCAAATTTACCGTTTTACAAAAAACTGCTGAAAAAACAGTAAAGCACATAATTATTTATTGATTAAGATGTCGAATTATAGTTGTTTACTTGCATTCCTGAACAGAAAAAATAGTTTTAGTGGCTGAACGCTGCTTGATTTATTTCTGACTTCTTAGATTTGGGTATAAAAAGGTGAATTCAGTTTGAAATTACTCATTTCTGTTCAATATCTATATCTATACATATATATATATATACATATATAGTGCTTAACAAATTAGACAGGTGGTCTAATAAACTTGTTAAGCACCACATATTGTAATTTATTTTCCTATTTCTTTATTATCTCATCTGCATCCAGCTGCTGTAACATGAGAACTTTCCCGGTGAGGGATCAATAAAGTTTATCTTAAAATAATAATAAAGATTATTAAAACTTTGTGCAGAGCAGCTTTTTTTGTCCAAAACTACTGCAATGAACTTTGCTCAAAAAGGCAAATGAAGCATAACTGAAGGTTCACTTCATTTTTTTTATTTATTTAACCCTTATTTAACCAGGAAAAACCCACTGAGATTAAAAACCTCTTTTACAAGGGCGTCCTATAGCAGCTAAGAGGAAAACATTCTAAAATACCCGTCGTGTGTCTCGCTATTTTCTTCCCATCTGACTTTTTTTTTTTCCTTTCTTCCGGTGAGTTCAGGAAGAGTTGATGGCAATCAGAGAATCAGAATGTGTGCAGCAGAGTCTGGGTCCCGTGAGAGACGGTTTACATCCGCTGAGGAAGACACAACACGACTCCTGCTGTTCGCTGCTCATTCGTCAGCTGATTAAAGACGGTTCTGTCTAATTCAGGCTTCAAAACAACACAGCAAACAATCAGCTTCTGGTAGTAAACAAAGAACAAGTCATTTAACCGCAAGCTTCAGAGTCAGAACAGACGGTTTTAACATGTTCCTGCTCCTTTTATCTGCTCAGTCATTAGTCAGCCTCTGAGCCGTGGTGTGGCTCATCTGAAGGAGTCGGTTTTAATGCATAGGAAGCAGATTGTGCAACTACACCTTCACTCCTTTTCTGGTAAATCCTCCTCTAAGGGAACAACCTCAGCAGCTGTTGTATCTGCTGCTGGTGATGTTCGGACGCTGGAATAACTCACCGTCTTCCTGGAACCTAGAGTGTTTAAACTGAACCAGATCTAGTTTTATGTGGGTTAAATGTAAAACCTGACGATGTGATGAGTCTGTGCTCAAAGTTTTTACCGCTTTACATTTGTTTTACAGCTTTAAGTGGTGGTCAGTGAGCAGATTGAGAAGATTAATGCAAAATATGAAAACTATAAAAACACAATATTCTAAGGTGGGACTTCCTGCATAATGACGACTTTTAATTTTAGAACTTTAAGCAGAATTTGTTTCTCATTCCTCATTTAATTAAAGTGATCTTGCTACTAAAAATCGGTTCACTGATACTTCCTGAGAAAAAAGCAGCATTTATGTGAAGTGAAAGAAGAGTTCCCGCCGTACTCGGACACGATGAAGAATCATTTAGGTCGGAAGAACAAAAAAACATTCACACAGTTTCATGTGTGGAAGTCAAAAAAGAGAATATTACATCATTTTAGTGACAAATTCCCTCCTGATAAGAAAAAAACCTTCAAATTCTGGCTGCAAAACCACCAAAAAACTGTCGACCAAGCATAGAGGAGAAGTTTATCTGAAAGTATTGACTTGTTGTTCTGTTTGTGTTTATGTTTATGGCTCCTCTCTAAATGCATAAACACCACAAAGACGGAGGTCGACTGAGCAGCTGATCAAACTGGATCAACTCCACTTTACATTTAGGAGGTGATTCGATGTTTTCAAGTGAAAATTCTGCACATCATTTTGTCTCATTCGTCTTTTTCCGCATCGTTTCACAAACTGTCAGGATCGTATATTTTTGATTCATGTTTTGATAATCTCGTATTATTCTCTTAATCTCTTATTATCATCTTAAGGCATAATCAACATAACTTGTAAACAATTGCAGCATGAGAAAACGTAGGCGGAAACAGGACTTGGTGGTTTGTGTACATCTTTCCCTGAAACTGAAGGAACTGAAGGTGCTCACCAGTCGGGTGCTGAGTGGCAAGTTTCTGCACAACCAACATGGTGGAAGAAGGCCCAAGGACATGGAAGAAGCAATCAGCGAGCTGCAACTCATTCTGTGCACATCCTCATGTAATAGTATAAAGTACACCGGATCAGGGAGAGGCAGTCAGCAGAGACGGGGACTCGAGTTTGCAGCTTGGACTAGAGTCGCACACAGAGAGCTGCCTTATGCTTAGTACTTTGAATGCTATCTTGTATTAGTGCATTTTAGAAAGACGACAAAACAAATACGTATCTGGTTTAGTACCACATCAGCCAGTACAACTGATGAGCAACTTTCTATCAAAATATCAGCTTTCAGGACATTGCTTGATGGAATTACACATCTGATTAACTAATGAAGCTGGTTGGTCACTGAAATCTGACTTCAAGAAAATGTGAATCTGTTGGATGAGTTTAAGTGATACGGGAAGTGCGTCTGCTACACCCATGATATACACATCAAATGAAAGCTTAGAGTCTCCTCTTTCTAATGATATAAACCATGTTTACATGCAGCAACCACAGCGTTGACACAAAGAGCTTTTTGTACAGAAAAGCAAAATGTTAAAATCCGAATTTTCTTACTTTTGAAGGCTCGGGGTGTCCAATCCTGGTCCTCGAGGGCCACAATCCTGCATGCTTTAGATGTTTCCCTCTTCCAACACACCTGATTCAAATGATCAGGATGGTTATCAGGCTTCTGCAGAGCTTGATGATGAGCTGATCATTTGAATCGCACACATAGTTTAATTTCTGGTAGATTGGGATCGAGCTCCAACAAAA